TTCTCCACATGAGATGATTTTGGATTTTATTGTTAATATATATATATATATATATATATATATATATATATATATATATATATATATATATATATCTTACTTATTATAAAACGCAGATTGTGTGTGTGTGTGTGTGTGTGTGTGTGTGTCTGTAACGTTTATATATTGGATCGGATTTCCTACATTTTTCAACCGATTTCAACAAAACTTCACAGGACTACATAAAATTACCTTGTGGTGGTTCTAACAGCACCAAAAATTTGAAAAATATAATTGTTTTTGCACAAAATCAATTTGAAAACACGATTAAGAGACATCGTGAAAATGGAAGGGGGACAACTCACATCGGATTTCCTATATTTTTCAGCCGATAAAACAAAACTTCACTTTTTTTTTTTGGCAGGTAGTGTTTCTTATTCTCTTGCACACTTTTTTCTTTATTTTTAACATTCAGAATGCTTTAAAAATTCCATTTACAAGACAATTGTTTATAATAAAATTCAATTCAATCGGAAGACTCATAACGATTGAAAACATCGGATAAATTCTTTATCTTTAGGGAAAGATAATGAAATCTAAACATACACAAGTCCTAACTAAAAATAATAACCGGAACGGGAAACTACTTTAAATACACATGGTGTCCAATTTTTTTACTGTATTCAATAAGTAAAAATCATAAATTGTAAAAAGATTATTATTACAGAAAGGCTACTAAATGAATAAGATTTGTTAGATCATAATTAATAAACCCAAATAAAGTTAATATTTTTGTATTAGAAACAACGAGTGGAAAATATATTCAAATCAAATTCTAATTATGAATCACCACAAGCAAAATATGCAATATTTTTACTGTATTCAATAAGTAAAAATCATAAATTGTAAAACTCAAAGATTACAGAAAGGCTACCTACATTTTTCAACCGATTTCAACAAAACTTCACTTTTTTTTTTTTTTTTGGCATGTAGTGTTTCTTATTGTCTTGCTTATTGTCTCAATCGGTAGACTCATAACGATTGAAAACAATGTTTTTGTTTGAGTTTGGGTTTGACCAATTCCTAAAAAAAAAAAATAAATAAATAAAATAATTAAGACATGCGTGTCCGTCAACCTTAAACAATAATCTTTGTCAATTTTATTTTTCAGTCTTTATGATGGTGGATACTTGATCTATCTCTTACTGTTATATCCCCGGGCAACACCGGTCTCTACTGCTAGTATATATATATATATATATATAATCGACTCTCCCGTCGAGATTCGACGTATGAAGGTCAAGCAGATCAGTTTCCAGGAAACCGACAGCCCGACAACGGCACATGAGATTTGATTATAGTGGTGAAGGTTTCATACAGGACCATCCACACTTTTTGAAGGGACGAATACAGAGACCTTGTGCACTACGTGCCACAAGGTCCCCAAACGACCCTCCGCAGGTTTTGAATTCAGAGTTTTCCTTCTCCTAGACCAGTTGCCATCCAAAGCTATAGAACCTAGTCTGTTCTGCTATTTTACCCATAGCTATATATATTATGAAATGGACAAAGTCCGACAATTATTTTAAGACATTATTATGTTTATAGATTTTTTTATAGATACAAATATTTAAGTAAATGCTCTGTTTATAATAAACAGTATTAAACAACATTTACCGGCCTGAATGTCCGAGAAATTTCCATAGAAAATATTCGTCTTCCGACAGGAATCTAACCTGTATCCTATATGGAACCGTCATTTAGCTTGACGTGCCTTTAACCGATTTGGCCACAGATGCGCGTTCGGTTAGCGAGGTCGAATTCACTGTATTTAAACTTCAATCTTCTATGAATCTCTCACGTACATTCATATCTGCTCATGGCGTATCAATTGTAAACAAATGACGTCACACATTATGAAATGGACAAAGTCCGACAATTATTTTAAGACATTTTTATGTTTATACATTCTTTTTATAGCTATAAATATTTAAGTAAATGCTCTGCCATGAGCAGATATGAATGTACGTGAGAGATTTATGGAAGATTGAAGTTTAAAAGCAGTAAATTCTACCTTACTAACCGAACTATCCTCTGTGGCCGAATCAGTTAAAAGGCACGTCAGGCTATATGACGGTTCCGTATAGGATACAGGTTCGAATCCTGTCGAAGAACGAATATTTTCTATGAAAATTTCTCGGACATTCAGGCCGGTAAATGTTGTTTATGTATAAACATAAAATGTCTTAAAATATATATGTATATATACAGGGTGTCCGTAAAGTTCATGTGCACTTTAAAATATTCATAACTTTGTATTTGCGATAGAAATAATGTAACTTCACATTTCGCTTTTGCTTAACATCACTTGCCTTGATAAAGTCAAATGACGAAACTCATCAACAAGGACTACATACTATTTTACGATTACCTATTTTATTCATTTTGTCTTCTCTACAGATTTATTCTGAGAACCTTCACACAAACACACACATATATATAAATGCTAAATAACTGTGAATTCTAAATCTGTTTGTTCTTTCTTTTCAGTTATATATATATATATATATATATATATATATATGTGTGTGTGTGTGTGTGTATGTGTGTGTGTGTATGTGTGTGTGTGTGTGTGTGCAGGTATGTAGAAAAATAGGAAAGAACACGTGAGGTAAATAATCCGGAGTTCTTTAGTATTTTTATTTTAAAAACTGTGCTCAATACAGACGTAGAGCTTTATATATATATATATATATATATATATATATATATATATATATACACATGCATATATCATTCGCACACAGCTCCTCAGTGCGACTAGACATCCAAATGACTCAAGCCAGCATTGAAACCCAACCGATTTGGTGTGAGTCAGAGTTTCTTCCACTGAGCTATCTTCGTTCGACAGAGTGAAACAGCTAAATCTTTCGTATTGTTTTTACGAATGCACACACATACACACACACACACACACACACACATATATATATATATATGGTGCGATGAATAGATTGTCATCTAAAATAAGCAGAAATGAAAATAACACTGACATCTCATTTTAACAAATATAATTAGGAAAAAATATCTTGAAATATTAAAGAGTAAATTTATTCAATAACATCGCCATTGGTTTCAACCACGGCCTCCAGATGACTTCTGGATCTCCTGCATCTCTTGTGGACGGTCTCCTTGTTTAAGTTGGTGAATCCTGCCATAAACCTTGACTTCAGTTGAGCTTTGGTGAGTTTTGCTGGTCTCTTGCTCAACTGCGCCCCACACATAATAATCAGGGGGGGGTTACAGTCTGGGCAGTTAGGTGGCCAGATGTAAGGGGTGCATTGGTTGCAGAAATTGTCTCATGTCCATGACTGGATTCTCCTGCTTGTGCCGCATGGTGCAGAGTCCTGTTGCCAGACAATGGACAGGGTCTTCCAGCAGCCACCCTCTTGATCCAGGGCATCACTCCCTCTTCAAGGCACTTGATGTAGGTCTCCGTGTTGAGTCTGAGGTGCTGTTGGAAGAGGAATGGAGGCATAATATCGCCATCATTAGTAATCACTCCAGATACTGGGATGTTGACTGGATATTTGCTCTTCATCACTCTCGGAACCTCTTTTGTGGAAACAGTAAGCCAACGGTTGTTCTGAAATGTTCGTATTGGAACTTCCGGCGCAAATGCCAAGCAGCACAGGATGTCGTTTCCAAATTTCTGACGGAGTGAATTGCGTCATGGTGCTCTTTTTTTTTAATAAACGGTGCCCAACTGACCCTACTATACAGCGCAGTCGACAAAATAAAAAACAAACAACGTGCATGCACGAAATTAAAAATGTAAAATGGCGACAATTTACCCATCGCAGCCTGTAAATTCAAGTTATCATTACCATTTCTTCGTTCTTAGATAGATAGATAGATAGATAGATAGATAGATAGTGTTGTGGATTCCGGGTTGAAATCCGGTACCAATAAATAACAAACGCTAGGAATGAATATATGAAAATAATGTATTAACGTAATAATACAAACTGGTAATACAGGTTAGTAGTTCCAGGAATACGGGTTAGTAGCAAAATATATATACAGTCTTTGGTATTGAAGTATTTTTGTATGACTTCTTACTGAGTCTATGTGCTTGCTCACTGTGTCTGCTACAACGCTGTTAACTCACCCCTCACTCTTCCGGTTACCTATAACCTTTTACTCTGTCACTCTGGACTCGACTCTTCGGTCTTGCTCTCGTCTTACTCTTGCAGTAGTATATGTATATACTGGGTGAGTTCATTTGTATAAAAAGATTTGGACCCCTCAATAGATAGATAGATAGATAGATAGATAGATAGATAGATAGATAGATATAAACGGGCTGATAGATAGATAGATAGATAGATAGATAGATAGATAGATAGATAGATATAAACGGGCAGATAGATAGATAGATAGATAGATAGATAGATAGATATAAACGGGCAGATAGATAGATAGATAGATAGATAGATTTCCACTCTTTTTCGACCCTTTCTTTTCTTTCCATCTCTATTTCTTTTCGCATTTCTCTCTGTCGTTTCAGTTGGTTATTTCCATGACATCCATATTTCTCTCTCTTTTGCTTTCTTATTTCTTTATTAGCTTTGATCCTCTTTTAGTCTTCAGTTCTATAAACCAATTCCAAATCTTGGTCAATGAAGGATTCCAGCCAGAACATTTCCATAGCAACAAGATTTATCTGGACATCTTGCCCTATGAAAACGACGATGCGTTTTGATTCGATTCTCCGTTAGACAAAACACCATTTGGCTTTGCGACTCCCTTGGAATTGGCAAACCTCCTTCAGTTGACTTCCTTCGCTTTGTTTTTATTTCCATTTTCAATTTCTCCTTTTTCTTTTCTTCCCCTTTTTTGCATTGCGAATGAGAGGGTCGAATGTTTTCTATTTGAGGTTAATAGGAAGAAATAGTTCGCTTATTTGGACATTTGAAAACAAATCGATACTTTGGTCGTCAAAAATGTATAACGAGATATTAACATCGGCGGATACATGAGAAAGCCATATGACATAGATAGATAGATAGATAGATAGATAGATAGATAGATAGATAGATAGGAAGGAACTGAGAGATAGATAGATAGATAGATAGATAGATACGAAGAAACTGAGAGATAGATGAATGGAGGTAGATGGGGAAGGAACTGAGAGATAGATAGATAGATAGATAGATAGATAGATAGATAGATACGAAGAAACTGAGAGATAGATAGATAGGTAGATAGGAAGGAACTGAGAGATAGATAGATAGATAGATAGATAGATAGATAGATAGATAGATACGAAGAAACTGAGAGATAGATAGATAGATAGATAGATAGATAGATAGATAGATAGATAGGAACAGTTTGAGATAGATAGATAGATAGATAGATAGATAGATAGATAGATAGATAGATAGATACGCACAAACTGAGATATGAATAGATAGATAGATAGATAGATAGATAGATAGATAGATAGATATGAATAAATTGAAATAGATTATTGTTAATAGATTAAAGCGATTAATGTTCAAAGATTGATTACCCTTATCAAAACCCTCAGGCTTTACTCGTTCAAAGCCTTTTTTTACCATTGATCTTGTGAAGTGCTTGTATACAGCTGACAGTCTATATATTTTTGAATGAATTTGGTATCATGCACGACATCCATATGAAATTCTTGCTCTAATGAGACTATTTCAAACCTGACTCGCGTTTTCTGGCTTTTCTAGCTCAGCCTATTCAATGTTTAATTCCCTTATCACCGATGCTATACGGTAAAAATGGCACCTTAGTGTATTTTCTGCTCCCATGCCAAGTGAAAGATGAAGGACACTGAATCAAATGTGTTTGATATGCGCCTGGAACCTTCAACATCGAATGTGAATGGGATTTGTGCCCGCGTCTCTTGTCTGTTAATGCAGACAATTCTAACCAGATGCTTCTGGGCACGATCAATAAGGTTTCAAAGTATTTCTGGAACACACATGACACTTTAGATCAAGGGTTGCCAGATGTCACCAGATGTCCGCCAGATAAACGACTAATATAGTTCTGGACATTTTTCATAGAGCTGGACAGAATAATTGTATAATAATCAGTTATGCAATGAAAATTACTTCTTAACATTTATTTCGACAATATATATATATATATATATATATATATATATATATATATGTGTGTGTGTGTGTGTGTGTGTGTGTGTGTGTGTGTGTGTGTGTGTGTGTGTGTGTGTTACGGGACCTTACCCATAATAACATAATGGACTATTCCATACGTAATAAATACTGCGCCTCAAGAGGAAGCAGGGAGTTCAGTCTGAAAATCTGGAGTGAAGTCCGTCAGGAGTCTGTCAGTCAGTCAGAGCGAGCGAGTCAGTCAGTCGAGTCAGAGGCAGTCCGAAACAGTGTCGCGTTCAGACAATTACTACAAGACATTGGAATAGTGATACTGGTCGAGACTACATTGTTCTCCCTACTAAACCTGATTGTTCGTACTAACACTTTCTACTTCTCTGTATATATTCCTGTTTGTAATATATCTGTGTTATTCCATATCCATGTTCGAGTTCTTCTTTATTGGTTCTACCTTGGACTATCACCGTGGTACAAGGAACCGGACCATAAAATATATATATATATATATATATATATATATATATATATATATATATGTTATAGTCCCTACCTACAACGACAGAATGAACCCTTCCTAACATTATATACACTACGCCTCTCAAGAGAGACGAACGGTATTGGGACGGCATTGAATCGAGTCGAGCTGATAGTAGTTCACTTCAAACCAGTCTGTCAGCCATACTAACATCTTCCACTTCTTGTATTATTTTTCGTGTAATATATTCTTTGTTATTTCTACTCTTGTGTTCCGTGTTGTTCTTCTATGGACCTAACCTTGGACCATAACAGTGGCGACGAGGATATTGAAGAAACAAATTCTACGCGGAGGATATTGAAAAAAAACAACCTTTTTTGCTATCGGTCGTCCATAACAGAGCCGACAAGTTCTACGCGAAGATAAGATAAAAAAAAAACTTGGTACACCAACCATAACAGTGATAACGAAGACACGAATCGAATTCTACGCAGGAAAATCTTTTCGCGCCAAGGGTCCAGAACAGACAGACGACAAAGGCCTGAAGTCTACACTGAGAAAAAAGGAAAAATCGTTACACCAGTATACAACTCTGGCTACAAAGTACATATTGCGAAAAGAAAATGTAAGGGGAAAACGTGAGTTTTTTTTTCTCTCCTCTTCTCGTGACAACAGATAGCCTGTGTTATTATTAGATTACGGTGTAAACATGGAAGACTTTAAGGCAACCATATTGGAACTAATGAAAATGCAATTCGAGCAGCAACAAAAAAAATGAGGAAAGACAGACTAGGCTCGATGAAAAACTATTGGAAATTCAACAGAAAAACGAAGAAAAACAACTCGGACTACAAGAATTACTACTACGGGCAGTAACAAATAAAGGACAAAATTCTGAAAATGAAGCGGCATTCTCGCAAAATGCTATATGGAGCTCAATCGAAGACTTCACTTATGCACCGGACGAAGACAAAACCTTCGCGGCTTACTTCAAAAGATATGAAGATTTATATGAGTTTGATTGCGGAAATTGGTCAGACGCGAAAAAAGTACGTCTACTACTGAGAAAACTAGAGTCAAGCGAATACACTAAAATCGTAGACTACATCCTCCCGAGGAAAACGAATGAGTTTGACTTTGAGGGAAGCCATGAAACTTTTAACGGAATTATTTAGTCTGAACACTCCACTATTTCACAAAAGGTGGAAATGTTTAAATTTAACAAAAAAAGGATTGCGAAGACTATATAACATTCGCTTCTGTAGTAAACAAACACTGCGATGACTTTAAGTTATCTGAACTCATTTCTGACAATTTTAAATGTCTGATATTCGTCCAAGGCCTGGTTTCGACTAAAGATGCAGAGATCAGACGGAGAATTCTAACAAAACTGGAGAGTGAACCAGAATTGACGCTACAAAAATTGGCTGAGGACTGTCAGAGATGTATAAGCGTAAAAAAGGACTCGAAATATATCGAAGAATCTGGCGTAACCCACGTACGAACACGTTTTTTCCCTCCTCAAAGACAAACCAAACCAATTATTTTACTACAAAAAGTCAAATGAAACCTCAGAAGAAACCACCACCCAGTCCATGCTATCGCTGTGGAATTCTGCATTGGTATAAAGACTGTCCATACGTCTTGTCTGTCGTGCAATAAAGTGGGACATAAAAGTTCGCACTGTAGAACAAAGAAAGAAATCAAAAGCCCGAGTAAGAGTTACTAGAACTGATCAAGCGGACGGGATAAATATACGAAAATACGTACAAGTAGAAATGTTAAACAAAAAAATCAGATTAGAATTAGATTCCGGATCAGATTTAACCATTATTAGCTTACAGACGTGGAAGAAATTAAACAAACCGATCATGATGAGAACAGATAAAATATCCAGGTCGGTAACAGGAAGAAAAATCAAATTTGAGGGCGAGATTATTACAAATGTGACGTTCAACGGAATGACCAAAAAATTAAAGATGTACGTTCTAAAAAATACGGAAAATTTATTTGGAACTGACTGGATGCAGAAATTTGGCCTCTGGGATTTACCGATAAATGCGTTCTGCCAAAAAGTGGAAAGATTATCGACCGAAGCAAAGAAATTGAAGGAGAAATTAAAGGAAAGTTTCCCCGACGTATTTTCAACCGGCCTCGGGAGGTGTAAAAAAAATGGCGGCAAAAATCGAACTAAAAGACAACTACAACCCATTTTCAAGAAGAAAAGAAATGTATCTTTTGCATCATTGGAAAAGATAGACGCAGAGTTGGATAGACTCGTGAAAACCGGTATATTGACTAAGGTGGAATATAGTCAATGGGCCGCACCTACGGTTTACGTGAAAAAGAAATCGGGTGAGATACGAGTATGCGCTGATTTCTCGACGGGATTGAATGCAGCGATTAAGGATTATCACTATCCTCTCCCTAGTCCAGAGGAAGTTTTCACAAAGTTGAACGGAGGAAAATTTTTCTCAAAAATAGACTTGAGCGGAGCATATCTACAGATGAGGAAAGCTCAAGGTTGTTGTGCATAAACACACATAAAGGATTATATCAGTTCCAGAGATTACCATTCAGGATCAAGGTCGCGCTGGCGATATTTCAGCAAATAATGGACACTATGCTAGGCGGACTGGATTTTACGATCGCATACCTTGATGACATCCTGATAAATAGCAAAAATATTGAACAACACTGGGAACACGTTCAAGAGGTTTTCAGGCAGATACAAAATTACGGTTTTAAGGTCAAATAAAATAAATGTGACTTCTTTATGAAGGAGATAAAATATCTGGGCTATATTATTAACGAAGAAGGAAGAAGACCAGACCTGGAAAGAGTCACAGCAATAAAAAAAAATTACCGACTCCAAAAAATTTAGCCGAGTTACAAAGCATCTTGGGTTTAGTAAATTATTATCAAGAATCTATTCCTAACATGCACAAATTACGCGCACCCCTAAACGAACTGTTGAAGAAGGAAAAAGTTTGGGAATGGTCATATGAATGTCAGAAAACTTTCGACAAAATCATTAAAACTCTAACAGCAGATTTATTTCTAGCACATTATGATCCTAAATTGGAAATAATTAGTCGCGAGTGACGCGAGTGCCTATGGTGTTGGTGCATGTATACTACATAAAATGCCGGATGGGACACTAAAACCTATCGCGCATGCGTCAAGAACTTTACTATCAGCAGAACAAAATTACTCGCAAATCGAAAAAGAAGCGCTGGGGATAATTTTTGCAGTCACGAGATTCCACAGATATATTTACGGTAGATTTTTCACCTTACAGACAGATCACAAACCGTTACTAACAATATTTGGAACAAAGAAAGGTCTACCTGTCTACACTGCTAATAGATTACTAATATGGGGGACGATTTTATTTATTTATAACTTCAAATTGGAGTATCTTCCATCAAACAAAATCAGGCATGCAGACGGTCTTTCGAGACTAATACCAAAGAAAACGGAGCCATTAGAAGATTCCGTAATTGCAGTTCTACGATATGAGGAAGATATTAGAATATCATTATGTAGTACAATTCGAAACCTCCCCGTCACATTACAAGAAATAAGAAACGAAGCAGTGAATGACGAATTTATAAAGGAAACGAAAACAAAAATTGCAGGAAAAGATAAGCATATATCAGACAGTTTTTCGTTATGTGATAAATGTTCTGCTATATAATGAAAGAGTAGTAACCCCGAAAAGGCTACAAAGGCGAATCCTCAAGGATTTCCACATGGGCCATCCAGGAAAGAACAGGATGAAATCCTTAATGCGAAGTTATGTGTACTGGCCAAACATGGATCAAGATATTATACATATGATGGACAAATGCAAGGGCTGTTCCTTAGCAGCCAAGGCACCTCTGATCACTCATAAGCCATGGCCTAAGACAGATCGACCGTGGTCGAGAATCCATGTAGATTTCACAGGTGCATTAGAGGGTTTCTACTACTTGATTGTAGTAGTTACAGCAAATGGCCAGAAGTATTTCGTTGTAGAAAACCTACTTCTGAGACGACAATAAATTGCCTTCACGAGCTGTTTGCTCGTTTCGGAGTGGTTGATTGTTTAGTCATCGATAATGGGACACAATTTACATCTGCGGATTTTCAAGAATTTTGTGAAACTTTTCAGGTGAAACACATCAAATCTCCGCCATATCACCCAAGGTCGAACGGGCAAGCGGAGAGGACTGTAGATACATTAAAAACAGCACTGAGGAAAGCTTATGACGTACCAACAGAAAAGGCTTTACAACAATTCTTGCAAGTGTATAGAATTACACCGAACAGTACTACGCCATCGGCATTATCGCCGGCGGAAGTAATGTTTGCTCAAAAAAATTAGATTGGTATTCGACAAATTACTGCCAAACAGACAAAGCAATCACCAACGTCGTTTGTACCAAAAAGAAAATTTAGCCCAGGGGAGAAATTCTTTTTTTTTAAATGTTCAAAAACAACACATCCTATTGGGAGCCAGGTACAATAGAGAAACGAATCGGGAACGGGATTTACATAATTCAGGGTCAGAAGTTCTCGCATAAAAGGCACATAAATCAGATCAGAAAGAGGCTGTTAGAGGATTCTAACAGTCTACCTCAGGAAGAGGAGGACGTAATGGACACCTTCAATATGCAAAGGTCCCAAGCAATTTCAGAACCGCGGAAATCAAGCAGAAAAAGAAAATTTACAGAGCCTTTGATGATTAATCCGAAGAGGAAAAAATATTAAAGACCCCGGTGATGTAAAAACTTGGAAGTAGGGTGTTATGGTCCCTACCTAGACCGACAGAATGAACTCTTCCTAACGCTATATATACTACGCCTCGCAAGAGAGACGAACGGTATTGAGGGAGCATTGAATCGAGTCGAGCTGATAGTAGTTCACTCCTAACCAGTCTGACAGTCATACTAACACCTTCCACTTCTTGTATTATTTTTCGTGTAATATATTCTTTGTTATTTCTACTTTTGTGTTCCGTGTTGTTCTTCCATGGTCCTAACCTTGGACCATAACAATATATATATCTATAAAAGGCAGGATGTATGTGTGTGTGTGTGTAACGAATGCACGGCCGCAATTTTCGACGGATTTGCACCAAAATTTATATGCACATGCTCCAAGTTAGCGGGAAGGCCAAGACTGACTCTGCATTTCCCAACTCCCAACGATAGTGGAAATAATCGATTTTTCATGCTTCTACGACAGTTTTCATGTAGTTTGCGGCCATTTTCTACTGGCCAGAGCGAGAGCCTATAGCTTGCTTCCACGAATAGGCAGGAAGATCCTATTAGCCAGCGTGAGAGCCAACAGCTGACTGACACGAATGTTAACTAGCATGTAGCATGCAAAAAAATCGATAGCTGCATTCGTCACAAGTGGGAAAAATTTAAATCTGCATGGCATTTTACTCCAATTGGCTCATGCGCTTGCTTAAACTCAACGTTGATTCTGATTCCGCAGAACTGGGTTGGGTGTGAAAAAAGTATTTGTTGTTAACATTCTTTTTCATTCGGTTTTTCCAGTTACGAGTCCTTTTTTAAAGCTGATCGTTTTGTGTTCATTTGTTTAGTTCTTTTTTTCGTAACAGATTTAATGTTTAGTATAGAGCTTAGAAAAAAAATCGCAGTGTGAGATAGGCAAGAAGTAAGGCATGTAGCAACATCAGCACGGCAAAGGGCACTCCTTTAAAGACAAGGAAGGGCAAAAATATTTTAAGTCAAGTGATAGCGATCGCTGTATGAGTCGTACGATTTTTTGAATCAAGGACGGGCAACGCCGGGCCATGCTGCTAGTATACACACACACACACACACACATATATATATGTGTATATATATATATATATATATATATATATATACACAGTAGAATCCCTCCTATCCAGAATCCCTCATATCGGGAATCCCTCATATCCGGAGTGTCTCATATCCAGAATCACGCATATCCGGTATTCCGCATATCCGGAGTGCCTTATACCCGGAATCCCGCATATCCGGACATGATTTTGATGTGTATATTTGAACTATTTGGGTGATATATAACTTATTTTAAATTTTCTGTTTTTTAGGAAATTTATTTTGGATAATTGATCATGCTTATTTCACCCTAATGGCTTGTATTGGTGCAAAAGATGATGGAAATAAGAGGAAAAGAACAACTTGGGAGTTATCCCAAAAAATGTAAATTTTAAACAGACTAGACGCTGACGAAAGTTCATTGTAACTAATGGCTGAGTTCAACATAGGAAAGTCAACATTGGATAATATAAAACCTTCCAAAGAAACTATTCTCCAGCCTTCACACTGTCACAATGAGCAAGAAAATAAAAAAACATGATTGTGATGAAACCGTGGCTGAAATTTAAAAAAGCTATTAAAAAGGTTGTCAGTTTTATGGAAAGAAAGCCAGCATTCACCTATGACGATTGCAATAACGCAAACAGTTAAAAAGTATCTTTCGTTTAAAAAATTTCAAGAACAAAAGCAAAATTAAATGCGGAAAAATTTGAGAATGACATTAGAAGAGAAAGAATCATTATGCAACAGCGATTAAAAAATCCTCGTTACATTATTTGTTTTGCATACGTGGCAGACTTAAATTAATGAATTTTCATTAACATTACATAATTCAGGTTTAACATTTATTTGATTTAATAATCGAAATTAATTGCCAAATCCAGTGAAAGTCACCCATGAAATAAAAATAATTGTTTGTACGGAAAGTAAGGACCTGCGTACATCAAATTGGCAAGTGACGGAAATAGGGATGCTGAATCCCTGGACAAGTGACAGCCATAGGTCTCCTGACACACTCGACTAGTGACGGCATTAGGGCTGCGGACACTATCGACAAGTGACGGCCACAGGGCTGCTGACACCATTGACATTTGACGCCCATTGGGGTGATGAGAACCTGGACCAATGACGGCCACAGGGATGCTGATGCCCCTAGCAAGTGACGGCCATAGGCCTGCTGACCACCTGGACCAATGACGGCCATAGGGCTGCAGACACTCTCGACAAGTGACGGTCATAGGGCTGCTGGCGCCCTAGGCAACTGACGGCCATAGGGCTTCTGACACGCTGGAAAAGTGACGGCCACAGGTGCGGCTGATACCTTAGACAAGTGACGGCCATCAGCGTACTGACACACGACTAGTGACGGCCATAGGGCTGCTGACACCTTTGACAAGTGACAGCCATAAAGCTGCTCACAGCCTGGACAAATGATGGCCATAGGGCTGCAGGCACACTCTACAAGTGACAGTCATAGGACTGCTGACGCCCTAGGCAAGTGACGGCCATAGGACTGCTGATATCCTGGACAATTGACGGCCATAGGCCTGCTTATACACTCGACTGGGGACGGCATTAAGGCCACAGACACCATCGACAAATGACTGCTTTAGGGCTGTGACACCATCGACAAGTGATGGCCATAGGACTACTGACACCCTTGTCAACGCACGGCCATAGATCTGCTAATAGCCTGTGAAAAACAGCCATGAGGCTGCTGACACCCTAGGTAATTGATGGCCATAGGGCTGCTGATACCCTGAATAAGTGACGAACATAGGTCTGCTGACACCCTAGAAAAATTACGGCATTGGGGCTGCGGACACCATTGTCAAGTGACGGCCATAGTGCTGCTCACACCCTGGGCGAAGTGACGGCCATAGGGCTGATGATACCCTGAACAAGTGACGGCCACAGGTGCAGCTGATACCCTAGACAAGTGACGGCCATCGGCGTACTGACACACGCGACTAGTGACGACATTAGGGCTGCAGACGCCATCGACAAGTGACGGTCATAGGGCTGCTGACAACATTAACAAGTGACAACCACAGGGGAGCTGACACCCTAGACAAGTGACGGCCATAGGGCTGCTGACACCTTTGACAAGTGACAGCCATAGCGCTGCTGACACCACTGTCAAGTGACGGCCATAGGTCTGCTGACAACCTGTGCAAGTCACGGCCTTAGATCTGCTAATAGCCTGTGCAAAAACGGCCATGAGATTGCTGACACCCTGGCAAGTGACGGAAATAGGGCTGCTGCCAACCTGGGCAAGAGACGGCCATAGGGCTGCTGACACGCTGGACAACTAACGGACATAGGGCTGTTGATACACTGGGCAAGTGATGGCTATAGGGCTACTGATACCATGAACAAATGACGACTATTCGGCTGCTGATTCTCTGGAGAAGTGTCGGCTATAGGCCTGCTGACACACTCGACTAGTGACGGCATTAGGCCTGCGGACACTATCGACAAGTGACGGCCATAGTGCTGCTGATACCCTGAGCAAGTGACGGCCATAGGGCTGCTGATACCCTGAACAGGTGACGGTCATAAGGCGGCTGATACCCTTCACAAGTGACGGCCATCGGCGTGCTGACACACTCGACTAGTGATAGCATTACGGCTGCGTAAACCATCGACAAGTGACGGCCATAGGGCTTCTGACACCATTGACAAGTTTCGACCACAGGGCTGCTGACACCCTGAACAGTGACGGCCATAGTGCTGCTGATACCCTGAGCAAGTGGCGGCCATAGGGCTCCTGATCCCCTGAACAAGTGACGGTCATAAGGCGGCTGATACCCTTCACAAGTGACGGCCATCGGCGTGCTGACACACTCGACTAGTGATAGCATTACGGCTCCGTAAACCATCGACAAGTGACGGCCATTGGGCTGCTGAAACCATTGACAAGTGACGGCCATTGGGCTGCTGACACCCTAGACATGTGACGACCACAGAGCTGTTGACACACTCGACAAGTGACGGCCATAGGGCTGCTGCTACCCTGAGCAAGTCACGGCTATAAGTCTGCTGATACCCTGGACAAGTGACGGCCATGGGCCTGCTGATTTACTCGACTAGTGACGGCAATAGGGCTGCTGACACCATTGTCAAGTGACGGCCATAGGACTGCTGACACCCTAGACAAGTGACGGCCATAGGGCTGCTGACACCCTGGGCAAGCTGAACCTCTGCGCCCTTACATGTATAACTTTTTTAAATTTTCAGGAGAAAACATGAAAATGTAGAAAAATGAGTTTATTACAATATACAACTTAATACAAGCTAAAGAAAACATTCCTTAGCCTACCTGAAACTTTTATTTCTAGCCTTTCGATCTGCAAATCTTTTCACGCCACTTTCTATACCTAGCTTCTTTAAAAGATCGTTTTCTAACGACAAAATAACCAAAGAATTTAATCTGTCTTGAGTCATCGACGAACGCAAGTGTGTTTTTATAACCTTTAGTTTTGGAAGATCCCACACACATAACATGGCGGCATGATGGCGACCCTGATGACTTCCCACGTTGTCAGTACCTTGCGCCGCTCACTTGATAAATTGAAGGCAAGAGGAAAACAGCTTGCTTGGCAAGTTTGAGTAAATGAATGGCAGAATGCGGTTTAGGAGAGATAACACACAGACAAAATTTATTAAAAGCTACAAAGGACGAGAAGCTGTGGAGAGCCAGAATCGCCATTGTTCTGAAGGGACACGGAATATAGAAAAAGGAGAATGTTTCCGACGTTTCTCTTCAAATGGTAACAAAAGCTATTATGGCGAGAGGAGTTGTGAGTTACGTCAGGTAACTTATGGTTTCAGGGAAGTTAATATGTAAACGCTATTTCTCTTTAATTATGATTCCGAATCCTTTATCTCTTTAGGGTCGTAGACACGCCACGTGTACTGCAGCTGTGGCAGCAGTGGCGTGTCTAGGCCAATTTCGAAGAACTTATGGAACATCCACTTGATCGTCTTTCTTTCACAAATTTAACTAAATTTTGTTCCATATCTGGATATTGGGCTTTTCTTCCGCTACCTATAGCTTTGGCACTTGATTTACACTTTTTTATTTCATTTTTATTCATTCTCCATAGACGTATGTTAACCTCATTCAATTTATATACTCTAACTGCATCTCTTTTTCCTATTCTTTCTGCTAATTCTATTATTTTTGGTTAAAATTTGCACTATGACTCGCACGTTTTGACAACTTTTTGGCGGTAAAATAAAATATTTATCGGGAAAACCGCGATGGTAATCTTCAACATGAGCCGCTTAATGTCAAGGTCGACAAAATGTCTTCGTAATTTTTTTTTTTTTTTTTTTTTGACAAAAATTATAAGGATAGATATATTTCTTACTTTTTGGATCATTTGTTGGGGTGCGTATTATTTATGGAATGAGTATTACTTTCGAAAAATTACGGAAATTGTAAGTTCAATCCCTAGACCGGGAAGTGTTTACTTAGACTCAGTGGACGCTGGCAAGAAATAACTAAGCAGTATTAACAATAAGAACTAGACGAGATATCTTTATTATAGAATCGATATCTAAATTGTCATTAAACAAATTAACATTCACTCGCGCGTTTGACGACATTTTGGCGCTGAAATAAAATGTTATATTTATCGGGAAAACCTCATAGTAATTTTCAACATTATTTTAGTCGCTTAGTTTTTATTCTTATTGTCAAGGTCGACAAAATGTCTTCGTAATTATTTTTTTGATTTTTTTTTTTTTTTTTTTGACAAAATTTATAGATGCGTATTATACATAGGGAAAGATATATTTCTTAATTTTTGGATTATTTGGTCGGATGCGTATTATTTTCGAGAAATTACGATATATTTCTGAGATGGAATATTGTAACTATTTACACTATTTATATTTGTTGTAAATAATTACGATACCTCATCTCAGAAATATAGACAGCTATTGAAGGATCGATACGGACCCGATATACCAAAAATGTGGAGACAGAAAAGTTCAACGTTTGTCACCTGAAGAAGGCTGAAGCGTACAACGGCCGAAACGTCGTGAATGTGAATATGTTGTAGCGGACTGTGGGGTGAAGATGTGAAGAACACATGCGGGTAGAATTTCCTGCTAGCCAGTCCAACTACATGAGAAAGTTGGACTTTAATTAAGTCCAAAGAAAAACAAAGAAAACCGATAGATATATACAGCCTTGGCCAAAATTATGGAGCACCAATGAAAAATCGAAATTATGATTTAAACTTATATATTTAAAGGTTAAGAATAGTGGAGTAAGCATTAATAACAACAATCAATATTTGGTATGTCCTCCTTTTGCCTTTATAACAGCTTTTATTCGTTTTTGCATATTATTCACTAAGTTGTTGCAGGTGGTAGGATCTATTTTCTGCCAATCTTCATGAAGTTTGGCCTCTAATTCTTTTTTTGATGAACATTTGTGCATTCTCACTCTTTTCCCTAAATGGGACCACAAAGTTTCAATGGGATTTAGGTCTGGGGATTGAGGGGGCCACTTCATCACTGTAATCCCTTTTTTCTCAAACCAACCGATTGAAACTTTTGACGTATGGCATGGAGCATTGTCTTGTTGGAAGATTACATCCCTTTGAATGTTATTATTAAATATTTTAGTCAAAGAGGTTCGGTAAACCTGGTCCAGCATGTTAGAATAAATTGTGGAGTTCATTCTGCCCTCACATGTGTACAACATTCCAGTGCCTGAAGAAGCCATGCAGCCCCAAACCATTACGCTTCCTCCTCCAAATTTTACAGTTGGAACCACATAATCAGGATGAAATGCCTCTCCTTCCCTACGGCGAACATAAACAGCTCCAGGGGTGCCAAAAATCTGATGAAAAAAAAAGAATTTGTTACAATTTTTGAATAAATGTTATGGATGTGTATTCACATAAAAATTTCAATTATTACATCAAAAGTTTAGGAAATAGAAGCTGTTAACTTACCTCAAAGTTACTTTCGTCAGACCAAACAATTTTGCCCCAATCATCATGTGTCCAATTTTCATGGTTTTTTGCAAATTCCAGTCGTTTTTTCTTGTTGGCCTGAGACAAGTATGGCTTCTTCCTGGCTTTGCGTCCTTTTAATCCCACTTCTAATAACCTTCTTCTCACTGTTCGAGCTGGTATGTTTTTGTTTGCATCCGCCCTAAGTTCAGCAGCAAGCTCTGAAGAACTTTTCCTCCTATCTGCAAGGGATGCTCTTTTCAAAGATATGTCTTCCCTGGCAGTTGTAGACTTTTTACGGCCTTGTCCTTTTCTGTTTTTGTAAGACTTTGTTTCCTTGTACCTTTTAATCGTTGTTTGAACTCCCTTCATTGAACATTCCATCTTCCTGGCAATTTCTACCTGAGAATATCTTTCACCAGATAAAGCAACAATTTGTGTCCTTTTAATCTCTGAAAGCTGCTTCTTTGGAGGCATTTTCAATTAAATATACACTGATAGGAATCAAATATGACCCGAAAATTACGAAACAATCTTTAGTATGACAATAAATCATTTTGAATATTGGAATGAATTTAGTACGAAACTCAGCTAAAGCACTTGAGAGAGGCTTTAAAGCAAAAAAATACTACAATCTACTGTTAAATATTTTACATTTGCTCTCAATTCTTCACTGTACGATTCTTAACCTTGAAATACGTAGGTTTAAACTATTATCTCAAATTTTTATAGGTTCTCCATAATTTTGGCCATGGCTGTATAAACAAATATATGTATTAACAACAAGTACAAGTTACAAGCTCATGGGCAGTTACATAGATTTTGTGTGGTGAATATTATGTGTGTGTATTGTGGTAAGTGTTCGTACGTACGTGTATTGTTCTTAGCATGTTCCCAGAATTTGGGAAACGCTGTATCTGTGAGAGTTCTCATATTGGGGTTAGCTGAGATGAGAGAAGAATTACCACCTCACCTCCAAGCGAGGTAACGGCCCAAGGCCTGAGGGATAAAAAAGAGATCGAGGTGAAGGTCCAGCCAGTATTTATAGCCAGGGAAGAGAGACCCCTGGTGAAGGATTAAGGAACTAAAGGAGGAGCTAACTCCGGCAATGTTAATAAAGATGAGAACAATAGTCCGAACAATGTAAATTAGGTACCTCCATGAAATCGATAAACAATCAGCATACCGTGAAAAATACATACTCCAAACGTAATGAAAACAGTTTTATCGTCAAAATCTTTATGTTATTCTTAAGAGGAAGGATCAATGAATTTTTTTTAATGTTTCATTAATTTTTTTCCTCTTTAGAACATTGCAAATTTTGATTAAAAAAATTGTTTTTCTTGTGGTAGCGGTTGTACTAACTTTTAGTATAGCAAATTTTAGCCTCTTTTGCTGTGACAGACACATTAATTTGGAAATTCTTGCAAAATAAATAAATAATTGTCGGATTTTAATGAAATTTTCAAGAAATACAGGGTGTCCATAAAGTTCGTGTGCACTTTAAAAAATTTATAACTTTATTTGTATTTGCGATAGAAATAATCTGTAAAAAATGTTATAAAGTTTAATGTACCTAGTTTTAAGTATAGCTAAAATAACTAACGTGATTACAGGCATTACTGTAAATCAGTTGGCAAAATCGTATTACCCTTTGTATTGCTAATGATGGAGGACATGTGGAAACTTAAATAAAATTTCAATAAAACCTTAAAAAATATCGATTTACTTCTTTCTAATCCTTTTTACAAATTATTTCTATCGCAAATACAAATAAAGTTATAAATTTTTTAAAGTGCACACGAACTTTATGGACACCCTGTATTTCTTGAAAATTTCATTAAAATCCGACAATTATTTATTCATTTTGCAAGAATACGAAAATGTGCATACGAACTTTATGGACATCCTGTATTTACAAATGAATGAAATTATTTTGTGTTAATTTTTGTATTAGA